ATCTAGTCATCAAGGATGTAACTCGTATTGGCCCAAATTAACATTTTGCACTGCTTCCAAATTCTAAACTTGGGCAAGGTTCATTTCAAAATTTGACAAAAAGCTAACCAAACTCAATCAGAGATCACATTGGCACCCTGCAGAGCACATCTCACAGCACATCCAAACCATACATTAGGAACTTATTCCAATGACAAATATAAGAGATGTTCCAATGCACGCATGAAAACAAATGCGAGGCACAGATGTGAATTCACCTGACCCCACCAAGCCTAAAAATTTTGAATAAATTCTGACAGCCTATACTGCCACTGGGGCTAGAGTTCCTTGTACACTATGATCCCGGCTGGCCTCTTAATTTGATTGCCAGCTCTGGGATCAAGGGGGGAGCTGGACATAAATCATAAATGTATGCATCATGCACGTGAAATAGAACCAATTGAGCTTTGAGCAGAATATGGAATCAGTCCTGCTTTCTTTTTTTATTTATTTAATTTCATGACCAATCACATGTTGGCTTTGTATTTTTTTTTTTTTTTTGCTTAGGGTCATTTATTAGATCATCCCTTATAATTTCACATATCTTCCTTTAATCTGTCTTATAGTTTGTATTTTACTAAAATACTTTTTATAGTTTGCAACTTATTTACTTTTTGATCTTTCATTAAGAATTATTTGTTTTGCCATCTGAAAATAGTAACATGTTCACCTTGGGCCCATGGTTGTTTATTCCAAAAGTACCCTTAAATTGAGTGGAAAATATTCAAGGGTTTGGATCCATAGTTGTTTATTCCAAAGGTATCTCTAACACTTTTTGGTATTGAAAACAAAATTTCCCAAATAGAGAAAAATAGAGTGATTGTTTGTGTTTTACTAAGGGCAAAAATGGAATTTTTGTTTTTAATTTATTTTGATTAAATTTATTTAAATGAATGTTAAAGTTAAAATTGTCATTTTCTATTTTCATCTAATAGAAGATCAATTAAATAAAATGATTGCAAATTACTATAAGGAATGTTTTAATAAAACACAAAATTATAAGGTAGGTTTTAGTAAATTCATGAAACTATAGAAAATGTTTTAAATAACCCATTTGTTTATTCATTTATTTGTCTTGCAGTATTTACAAGGAGAGAAGCACATAGACATCCTTAATTTTTCATGGCTGAAGTGCAGTTCATCAACAAATAAAACTATGGGTATATATGCAGCAAAAGAAAAAAGAAAAACAAATAAAACTATGGGCTGAATCAATTAATTACCTGCTCTCACAAATATAGATGCCATATGTAGGCTATTTTAGTCATAAATAAGCTCATCAGTAGGCCATAGACGCTACCTAATAGCAGGGCTCATTGGCTCAATAAATTTTTTAGAATATTTTTGAGTGGAATTCTTTATTAGGGAATAAACACACGCATTCTTTCCTTGAATTGAAAAAAAAAAAAAAAAAGAAACAATGCTTATCTGAATATCCTTCATTTGATTGCTTGCCCCTAATTAATTTCCTTGTTCTATTGGGGTAATGTGCTTTCTGAATGAATTAAAAAGCTAATTCTAATTTTCTCATAAATGAGCTCTAAATTTCAATTTACAAAACTTCTGCGAGTCCCATTGGGGGGCATATGAAAACTTTTCATAAAAAAGCATATATACCCCTTCACCTCAAAACTCAAAAGCTTTTCCTTCTCTGCCATCTTCCGACCCAAAATCACTGTAACAAATTTAAGATATTGTAGATCATGTTTGATCTTTATGTCTAAGGAACTCCTAGATCCTACGCATAATCATCAAGAGAAGAAAGGTGGAAAATACAATTTATTATTAGGCCAATAAAGTAGCACCCAGATTTTGGATTGTTGGGCTTACTACTTTGCTAGAAATCTTGATAAAGAGCTTCTTCATACTGTAATAATTAGGAATAATTTTGGATATGAACTGACCTCTTTATCTTATCTTTATGGCTAAACATGCCTACGCCCACGTGGTTACTTATCCTACATATTTCAGCTTTAACAAGGAATACTGGCATTTTTCTTCTAGCAAAGCTTCTTTTACAAAGTGATGAATTCTAATTTAATAAAAATAAAAAGAAAAAGATGAAAACAATTTATATACAAGAATTGGCATATTTATATACAAGAATTGTCATATTCATTTAAGGTTTTAGGTTAAAAGTGGTATCTAATTTTTATATATAAACCCTATTCACATATACTTAATTCCCTTGGCAAAACATTGCCACCTATTGTGAAAAAATAATTAATATTGATGGCCACTTGTATCGTTATAAACGGAGCCCATGCCTTCCCCATCTCTATACCCATAACCAAGGGTAGCCCATCCCTTACATCCTCACTCAATTTGATTTGTTAAAATCCCAATTCTAACTTTAAAATAATTCATTACGTTTTCCTTGCATCAATGGATTTTTAGATTGGTCTTGAATTATAATGATTTATTTACTTTATTTTGTACAATTGAATTGGGCAATGCCTTAATTTTAACCTAATCTAGAAATTTTCACCCAATTTCGATTTTTTATTATTCAACCTAAAGGCTTTTATGTATTAAGTGAGGTCATTGAATAAGTTGTTATTCTCTAACAAAAACCGACTGTGAGATGTTGAGTATCATTTGCTGCTCTCTGGCCCATAATACCAGTACCGTACATCATCGACGGTTGAACCTTTCCATCTACCCAAATTTTCTGTATATCATGCATAGCCACGTGGCTTAACTTAGTACGTACCATTCAAACTACAAAATTCAGTTCATCATCAACAACATCGAAAGGAAGAGAAGGGAATCAAAGGCAGGGTCCAGCTGAAGATTTTCCCTGTTTTTTAATTGGAGGGAAATGTGACCTCTGCCTGCTGGCTGGTGTGTCTTCAGTCCCCACTCAACAGTCACAAAAGAGTCCACCGTCTCCATGTGACCTGCCATGGCCAGCCCCCAATACTTTAATTCGTCCTCTCCTTCACTGTTCCTTTCTTTCTTTAATTTCTCCACTTTGGAAACAAGGTCACTCCCCACCTGGTAGGGCCCCATGTTTTTTGGTGCTATCACTACACTTTGCTTTCACACTTTGAAAACAATATGCCATTAATTTACCTGTCTTGTTATTCCCACAACACATGCTTCTGGTTTTCAATTGCACAACTCTCTTGAATCCTGATGAGATCAATATGAGTGAGTCATGTTTAATTACTGCATGAAACTGGTTGGATCTTTAGGTGGATCCTCTCAAATCCCTATCCATATCCCAAAAAAATGGGAAATGGGTTCAAATGCGGGTCTGATCATCTCATATGGGTAGATCAGTTTATGCATCCGGGCTGGATTATGGTTCAGAACCTGTGTAGGAAATACTTGTATGGTGGATGGAATACATGTAACTTGTCCCTGGTCTTTACAATCCAAACCCGCTAAATATGGGAAAGGAGAGGGTTTGGATCTCAGATGGACCAATTAAATTTCATGTCCCATGTTCAATTTAATCTTCTAAGATAAATGTCTATAAAAACTTTTAGTTCTGTTGAACTATTTTCCATTCCTTTTTTTTGTGTATCCATTTGTTTACATGCTTACTCACTCCAAATGGAACTACTACATTTCCCCAACCACACTGCTGGCTCCCGTGAAGTGGGAAACCCAAGGGGAAAAGGGTAGAAGATATATTTTTGAAAAGAAAATTCATGTCTGTTCTGTTTCTTTTGTTCTTTTGCTGTGTTTCAACTTTCAATGAAATTTGAATTCCCACTTCACCAAATTTTCTCATTTTCACATGTTCTCTGTCTAACATTTCCACCTGTTTTCTTGTTGGGCAGTGGATAACAAAGAATATATACAACCCTGTTTCTCATTTAGTCATTTTGATGGAGCAACTTTTTTATTTCTGAAAGGTAATGGGCTCAATCCAATGCCATGAGAGAATAATGAAGTGGGCAGAAGAAAATCGATACAGAACATTGGTAAAAGAAGAAGGAATAGGAAAAGTTAAAGAGAAAGATTGAAAGAGTAAGGTTGGACTCTGCTTTTTGTAACTTTTACTTTGTCCGTGTTTATCTTTATCAAGCCGTAAATTGCGGACACATTTTCCAATTCCAAGTGTCCAAAACTTTTTCAACCCCCAACGACCACACCAAGAACAGTTGAAAGTCATCAATGAATGAACTGATCAGAATGTATCTCATATTAAGCCCAACTTTTGCAGGTTTAATTGTTTGAAGTGACTAATACAGTGGTTAAAGCTAAGCTTATTGGGGTGATCGACAATGAAAGCAAATGCTTGGCTCCACTAAATTATTAATAAATAATGCTTGAAGCCTTGAAGGGTCTGCAACATAATCAAAGATTTATTTGTTCTATTCAGAAAACCTATCTGTTACACAATCGTGAATAACTTAATCCTAGCTGACTTGTATGTGATATTAAATTATCGCCAAGTGCCATTAGATAATTACTATTTAGAAGATTCGAGAATTGACCGCGGTCAATTAAATACCACTAAAAAGACACCAAATGCTGTGTTCGATTTGACAGATTAACAGAGAAACGGATAGTTGAGAGTTGAGAGGGGGAAGTTCTTTATTTACACGCAACTGAATTGCAGAGTTAATTTACAGCAATGACACGTCGGAGGCATTAAAATTCAGCACAACTCAACCAAGAACCAATTGGGGGTTCCTTTGCTGCAAGCGGACTTCAGAGTTAAGAGACTCGTTTTGAAGAAAGAAAGAAATGGACCATTGTTAGTAGTTGGATTGGACAACGGAAACAACATAGACCATGTGATGTGTTCCTTCCCCAGTCAATCATGGGTCAGATCAGGCAGATGTGGATTGGAATTTGGAAGCTTAACCAACTGATCAACCAAATGCAGGTGGCTTCACTTTGCAACTTCATTCCCTCACCAAGGCAAAAGACTCTTCTTATACACACGGATCACAGAGTGAGAGACTGAGAGACACACGCAGAGGGGGAGGGAGAGAGAGAGGGAGATTATAAAAGACCTCCATTAAGGATTTACATATACATGTTACATTTACAAATTACAAATATCAACTAACTTTCAGACTCTTTTGCGCCATTAGCACAAAAGGAAGGCAAAACTAAACCAGAAACAGGAGCAAGATAGCTTTGAAACTAAGAAACATACTAATAATTAATAGCTAAGGCTTGTGCACGGCTGCAGCCTGGTGCCCTGAGGCAAATCTGTTAAGCAACGCCAAGGCATTGCTAGTAACTTGGGCGACATTGAGGATCTTCCCCCTAATGGCCGTCTTCACATGTCCGTCCATGCCGTGACCAGCGAAGCCGTCCATACAAGTGTTCTCGTCGGTGAGCGCAGCGCTAACCCAAGTCTGAACGTTGCTCATATGCCACATGAAGTCCTGACTGGCTCCTCGGTTGATCTGTCCCAGCTCATGAATGGATCGGCTGATCCGGTCCACACTGTCACCCAGGTTGTCAACGCAATCCTTCACAGCTTGGTATTGTCTGCCCTTCAACCCACGAAGCCTGGTCATCTTCGACACGAATGCCGTGGCCGATCTGGCCCGGCCTAGGCTAACCTGCAAGGCTGCTTGAGCCAATTGGCGCGGGCTTTGTTGGATTGCGTTGGCGTAGACGGAGAGACTCTCCACACAGACGGCGGGGTAGCGAGTCACACCACAGGAGGCCTTGATGAAATCTGTTGGACTGGAGGACTCGACCCTGCCGGTGCCGGCTGCATACACGATTATTGAGACCAGTAGCAAGGAAAGGCTAACTTGTGCCATTATCGTTCGAGTTTTGACAGATGAAGAGAAGGGATTGGATTGAGATTGAGTGAGTGGGGGGAGGGAGGGTCTATTACTTTGTTTATATAGGCGGACGTCTCTCATGACTCATGATTAGTCCTATTCATTCGTAAGGTTGGGTCACATGCCTCCTACGGTCCTACCCTATTTACTCCGCCTATGTGCCACAATTAGTTGAGTTGCACCACACAGATGTGAACTGAACTGGGTTTTGGAAATTGGGACAATATTTTACAAAATAAAATAGAGCAGAGGGCTAGAGAACCATTCATTCAAGGCGTAAATACATATATGGTGGCAACGAGCCGAACTTTTAGCTGCTCGAGCTCGGCTCGTCAAAAGTTCGGCTCGGCTCGGTCGGCTTGGTTTCAACCGAGTTTGAGTTCAAACTCGAGTCCAATTCAGTGACTCGATTATTAAATGAATCGAGCTCGAACCTATTAGAGCTCGGTTCGTGAGGTTCACGAGCTGGTTCAAATATATATATAATTATAGAAAATAATATATATATAATAAAAATATTATAATTCTTAATTTTTTTAATATAAAATAAAAAAATTATATATAATTTTTATTTTTATAAAATATTTTTATAAAATATAAAACGAGCTGAACCAATCCGAGCTTGAGCTTATGTACTTTTGACTCGAGCCGAGCTCGAGCTCAAGGTTCTAGCTCGAGCCTTGTAGAATAGTCTCGAGCCTGATACTATTTGGTTCGGCTCAGCTCGACTCGAATCCACCCCTAATATATAATAAGCATATTAGAAATGGGTTTTTCTTAACTTTATCGAAAGCTTAGGCTCTGTTTGGCAATATTCTCACCTGTTTCTGTTTTTTTTAAAGAATCCTGTTCCAGAACAAGAATTTTATATTTTGTTCTTTAGGAATAACAGATTCGTTTGACAAATTGTTCTTCAAAAATGATTTTTTGTTCTATAGAAACAGAAATAGCGTTTGAATAATGAAACTATTTCTTAACATCAGCTTTAGAAATTCCTGATTTTCTTCTATTTATCTCTCTAATCTACCACTACTTCTACTCCCTTCTCCTCCAACAATATCAAATCTAATGATGTAGGATAAACCCCATGATACTTATAACCTTTCATCCCACCAAATCTCATCTCCTTATTTCATAATTTTTTATGTTACTTCACAACCTAGAATTTTCATCCTTGTGCAAGACAGACTCGAAACTACACCAAACTTGGTCGAGCATTTACATCCATCTAGGGCAAATTACTTGCAATGTTACATTGAAAAATTCCAATCATAGATAGAATTTGATGCCGGTCAAGCATTTACATCCATTTGGAGTTGCTACTATATCCCATCAAATGTGGAGTCTAAGGCAACTCGTTGTAAAAGATGTTCAATCAAACAAAGTATCAATACTTCACTGAGAAAAAAAAGAACAGAATAATCAATACAAATCATCACCATCAAGCAATTCTGAGTAGGCATCAATCACCTCTTCATAACAAACCAACATAGCTTGTAAATGATTGGGTTTGCGGTAAGAACTTGGATTTGTGGTGGGAGCAAAAACATATATAAAAAATTCCAAAAAACATATATAAAAGAAAAACTATCATCTTCTTCCGCCTCCTCTTCCAAAACCATCTAACGGTGCGCGAACTTCATCAAACTTGACTCAGAGAGGGAACATTACATCAGCCAGGGAAGAAGAGAAGTTAAGCAAGAAAACGGGTCCAAACGGCAACATTAGTAAGATGAGTGATGAGATTTCAATTTCATACGGAGGAGATAATATTAACGGTTGTAATAGACTCTGTTAATGCGGTGAGAGCAAAAAACGACTTCAAAGGTGAATATGGTCGGAGTTTAAAACAGATGCCAAAAACCATACCTATTGACGCTCGCCGGTGTGTTCGGTTGGAGCCAAGCCGAGATCCTCCTTCCTCTGAGTTCTATTGTTTAGTGCGAAAAACCGAAAACACCCCTTCTCAGTTGGAACCACATATTTCATGGGAATGCATTTTCTGAGACCGTCGATTTTTCACTCCCAAAAAACGCAAAATTTGAGTGTTATTCTCATGCAAGAATAAGGTGTTTTTTTATTATACCAAACGCATATCTGCTCCGTCAGAACACCGGAAATGCACGAAACGTTCTCAGGAAATGTTATCAAATAGGGCCTCAAACTCTAGAAAATAAAGTTAGAAAAACAAGTAGCCACTAGCATAGCCAGGGCACGAGCCAAAAGGTGGGATCAATGACCCACATCTTTGTCCATTTTACGCATTCGGTCTGGAACTACGCAATAGGACAAATGAATATGCACTGGTGCCCAACTTTCTTATTGAAAATTGTCGTTGTATTATATATTTTTTAGATGGGTCTTTAATTAGGACGGCCCCTCGGATTACTTCAACCCGCTCCATATCATGTCTTGGAAATGAAACAAGTTTTAATTTAATGAGGTTTTACTTATTTTTTATGTTTTTTAGTATTGAGTCTGAAATAATGTATGTATGTATTTAAATAATAAAGTTCCTCACACGAGGTGGCAAATAAATAAAATCGCGCTAAATAGGTCACGTCTTTTTCCAAATTTATGTTGATGTTGAATCGAATGCTGTATAGGCTTCAGGAAGCTAATGTAAATGAAATTGGTCGTTTAGTTTCGTACTTTTGTTTGGCATTTTTTGTTTTAAAATGCTGTATAAGTTGCTCAGCTAAAAATGGAATCGATATCTTTATATTCTCTCTCTTACCCACAAAAAAAATAGAAGTTTTAACTTTTAATTTATAACGAACTAGATTCTCTATCTTGTTGTTATTCAAATCCAACTTAAAAATGTTTTTTTTTTTTTCAATCTCAAATTTAACGATTTTATTTGGCTCCAGACGACCCATCTGTGCAATTAATTGGGCGGAAATTTGGTCTTGATTCCGGTAATCTCTCGCTATAATCTGATTAAATCAGCAGCATCATAAATATTTGTTGAATTTTCGTCGAGCATTTGGTTGGAATTTTGGTTTTCTGTTTCTACTTAGAGTCGCATTCTAAAATTATCACGAGAAGAAGTACGGACAGGCCATGCAGAATTCTGAATTCTTTTACAAATCTATAAACATTCAAAAGTTCAAAAACCCGGATTCTATAAATTCATATCCATCGGTAAATTGACATCAATTTCAAACTAACAATTACTCTAATTGTACTTTGAGCTTATGAATTCTATACATGGGCTGAACGGTCATTCTTCCCCTCTTAATCAGTGTCACTGGTCCAAAATAATGTATTATTACATATGGAGAAGGATGATAGACGATTGGGACGCACGTGTCCGAAGGTCCTAATTATCCACATGAGTCGGTTGATATGTGCACGTTCTTGCAATCAATCTAAAAGTAGGTTTTGATTGAATTGGGGCCTGTGAACTCCGTTTTCTCCCTGCCGAGCGCCGAGTCGCCGACCTCTAATCCAAGGTTTTTAACCCAGACCAGAACCAACAATGTTGCCTCTTAAAATTCGAGATAGACCGACCGAGCAAATGGGCTTTAGGAATTGTTTGGGTACTTGGAAGTCCCAACCATCCAAATCACCATGTCAAGTTGCGTGATTAATTGAAGTAATATTAGGCATATATCATGAATGAAGTTGGGGAGCTTTGTCTCCCAGCCATGAGCCATGAGCCATGAGCCATGAGCCATGGGGCCTGGCGCCTGGACCTAGATTTGAGATGGAGATAAGAAAGGAGACGCTCTCCGCTCCACCGCCTCTACGATACAGGGCACATGGACCACTTTGATGCAACAGCAAATGTGAAGTTTCCCAGGCTATTTGGATTCCCAAGATCCAACAAAACCTTAAAAGAGACTTAACTCCGATAAGATGACAGGGCCCATTGAATGGTAATGAGTGTCCCACATCAGCTTCACCGGCCGACGTATCCAGGAATACTAGGCTACAACTATAAATCTACAATTATGAAGTGAATATGGTCCCAGACAGCCAGACTGACTGTTGCCTGCCTGTGCGAGTTATTAATTCAATTGAATATAAAACAGACAAGTACGGATACACAATTCTGAATTCCAAACCCCTTACTACTGGCCCTTTTCCCCTATAAACCACATCCTATCCATGAATTTTACATCAATTCACGGTCATGATGCATTCTTTAAGGCTATAAAATTTTGACCTAGGGTGATTGGTCATTCTCCCAATATAAAAAGGCTAGAATAACAAAAGTATGGAATGCCCTCCGCCCGTCATAGGCCCTGGATTGGATCCTTCCAGACTATCCAACAATAGTCCAAAGTCACGGCTCACGAGTTAGCTTTTCAGTTTCGGAAAATCTGCAATGCCCATGTCGGTGAGTCTGAACACTGGAATAATAAGCAAATTAAGCGGAGTTCAAATCAGCCCCCATGAGATTGTCCCACACAACGTCTCATACCACATTTCATGACATCATTATTTATGGGATTATCATCAGAAGATGTTTCCAATATACAGTGGGATGTATTGTAGAATGTTGTGGGGGACAATCTTGTGAGGGTTGATCTTTTGTTTGGTATCGTTGCCATTGTTCCAGAAAACAGCGCCATATTAGTACTACGTTGGAAAAAAATCAGTGCTTTAAGAAACAGGCATTTGTATAGAATCGTTTTTTCATTAAAAAATGGTGCGTTAAGCCATGTCTCGGAAATCGGAAAGGCATGGCTTGGAGCAACACCAAAGTTGGTGTTTCCTAGAGCTACAATTCGTTGCTGCCAATAGGACAGTGATGATGTGGCATTAGATAATAGGTACCAGTACTGAAAATGTTTCCTGGAGCATTGGAACCAAAAAGAAAAAGTTATAAACACGGTTTTCTCAGAAAAATGATGCTTCCAATTCACACATCAGTAGTGCTGCATCTGCAGCATTGATGCCAAACATATACTAAGAAGTTGCAAAATTTATGGTCACATATTTTGTTTGTTCTATTTATTTGTTTATTTTTAGACTATCTCATAAAGGTAAAGGGAGGAGTCGGGTTGGATTGGATTGGATTATTCTGGTTTTTTATGTGAGCCGGGTCAAGAACATCTCTGATTACGGGGAAAATTCCCGATAGGTACTATGTACTTTAGGTTGAGTGCCAATTTAGTACTTGAACTTTAAAACGCGACAATCTAGTATTCGAACTTTCAAAATGCAACAATCTAGTACCTACATTAATGGACCATCAGTTATGTATATCACGTGACCTCATGTGCCATTTAAGATTTTTGAAAATATCAAAACTACCCTTATGTATATCTCCATCCACCACCAGATTATGGTCACTCATGTATTTGGCATCATCAGAGGCAAGATACAGTGCGGCATTTGCAATGTCTTCAGGTTCACAGTTGGCCCCAACCAACTCTCCAAGACCCTGAACCATCTCCACAAGGCGCTGCTTATCAACGTCGAGAAGCATCTTGACCATTTCTTCCATCACAAACGAGGTGGGAATGGCGAACAACGAGACTGTAGACGTAGAATCCTGGTGCCACCATGATCCGAACCACGGCCGGAACCAGCTTCCGAGCTTTGTTTGCACCCATGTCCTCGTCCTCCATGTACACCCCATTAGACCTCATCCCCTCATCCACCCTGAATACGGACAAGCTTGGGTGCATCAAACAAGCCAACAAATGAACCAGCCAAACGTTCTTCACTGCACCAAAGAATGCTTGCAACAGTGGCTCCGACCATGCCAGGTTCCACCCTAACATCGCCACGATCTCGCTCATCTTTCAATCGCAAAACCGGTTGAACTCCTCGCTGAAGTGTCTGGTTCCTTTGTTCAACACCTCATCCCCCAAGTGAGTCTTCTGAGAAGAGTAAAGGAAGCGTAGTTCGCTTTGCATTTTTGTATTGGGTTGAGGATTCGCTGGGACCCACTTTTTTTAAATCCGATGGATTTGAAGTCTTCGTAGAATGCTCGGTTCAGGAGTGCTTCCAGGTAGAATAGGTGATTCTTGGGTCCTTGGAAGATGAAACCCTTACGTCATAAGGTTGGAGAAGAGCAGAGATGCGCTCATAGACTCTGCAACCCATCTGCCGAAGCTGGAGGGTGAGAGACCAGCTTAGAGTCTGGACCGAAGACCGGGCTTTAGACATCGAGTTGAGAAATGATTCAATAACTGAGTCTTGATGTCTGAGTCCTTTAACTGCACTCATCACCATCACAGGGTTGATATTTTTCGGCACCAGATGTGGTGAATTGCTATATACCTCGAGACCAAACTTAAGGTTGTGGCAGTAGATCTCAAGCTTGTTGAGCTTCTTCTCTAACTTGGACATGGAGTACTTAAGTCGAGAAGCTTCTTGGAGAGCTTCATCTCTCTTCCAAGTGGCTTGATTGAGCTTCTACGATAGGTCTACGACAACGAGCTTCCATTGCTCTTCCTTGGTGGTTGAAGGCGACAACTCTAACAACCTGGGGCTCTTTCTCGTTAAACAAGAAAATTAGATTGCTTCCATTGCTCTTCCTTGGTGGTTGAAGACGACGACGATGAACTCCCTCTCTATAGTTATTGTAGTCTTGTTAAAAAAAATTAGATGACATTTAAAGGGTATATATATCTTTTCCTATTGTATTATTGTATTATGTACATTGATATTGATACGAAGTGAACAAAGTAAAATACCAAATTATTAAAAAAAGAAAATAGCTGATAAGGCTCATACCATCACTCCCCTATCCCTGGAGCCTACACTAGATGATGGCATATAATTATTAACCGGCAAATAAGCACCATCATTGTGTAGAAAGTCAATGAATTGGCTTTTGTATAATTGTTGCTGAGCAGTTTTTGCTAGGTGATGATATAAAAAAACGGGTTGATTAAATCGGCATAACCGCATAATCCCCTTGATTCCGGCTCAAGGTGAAAAGGACTACGAAATTTCCGCTTAAAATAGATCTAGACGTCTCACAATACATTATATTGGGAACATCTCTCCGATGATAATATGATGATGTCATCATGGGGAAAATACAAAGCGCAAATATATTGTGAAACATTATGGGGGGGGGCTGATTTAAACTCGATCTAGATAAGAAAAATGCAGAGTGCAGAGAAAGGGGCGTTATTGGAGTTTGGAGATCTGATTTCCATAGTGTATGTGCCGATTTTCAAATTTCAAACCACTTACCTGCCTCTGCCTCTGCCTGGACTACCGCCTACCGCCTCATTAATACAATCTTAGGCAGCATAATGTTTCAATCCTTTTGGAATTGGATGCCCAAACACATTCTTTCGGCTATAACTGCAAACACCCTTCGGCAGGGAATGGAATCTATTCCTCACACAGGGGCGCCTCATATGTACATCCACTGTACATTGAGAATATCTCCTGTAAATAATATAAATAATAATTTATAAGTACGACAAATATTCTCAATACAGGTTACGATGTACATGTTAGGCGCGAGTGAAGCGCCCTATGTGAGGAGCAGATCCTGTCTCCTTCCGCAGTTGAGCACGAGGTCTGTCTCTGTGATTATTGGCGAGGCAAAAGTCAGGTTAGAGCACATGGCTGATGGCTCCAGTGAAGGGGACTCACGGGCCACGGCCGGACCGGTTTAGGTGGGTCCCGTCCTACGTCAGTCAGAGACCACCTTGATTGGATGGTTGTAGTTATCCGACTTGTTCTTTGATATTTATCGCCACCCGTATTGCACATGCCTCCTAATCAAGCATCTGAAGCACTGAACCATCATCCCAAAAAAAACAAATCTATGGGTACGGTATCCCATAGGAAACTGTGGTTGTAAGTTGTAACTTGCAACCCAATGTTGTTCCAGGAATGGATGCATTTATGGTGTGAATAGTGAATTCTGCAAATTACAGATTTGCATCTCTTCAGTCGTCATTTCTCTCTTCCAAGTCCTAAAAGCCCTCCAATTTTCACCAAACTCTGAATTCAGATGCTAGTTGAAATGAAATCGTTGTAGATTGCAAATAGCATTTGAATTGAACCCACAAAGCCACAATGTCCTCGTCTCAAAGGATGTCGGTTATGGACTCTGGTTGTCAAGAATCATGAAAAATAATTCGATTATCGTAGCCCCCAAATGACCCAACGCTCAGTTTGGAAAGACGCAAAACCCTATATTTTTTGTAAACAGGATGAACCCTGCCTCCAAAAGAGGGGAAAAACGGTGAACTCAAATTGAAATCTGAAACAAAATCATGTTTCATTCCAGGTGATCTCCAAACGGTCCATTTTATCAGATTTTCTGTCCAAAACTCAATAATTTGTTTTTATAATATTTTCAAAAAAATCTTGTGTTTTATTTTCAAATGTACTGATTCTTTAATGGATGTATACTTCTTTTATTTCCTTTTCGATCATGATGTCAGATTTTGTTGTTTTTCTTTTTCTGAAAATTGTCTTTTATGTTGTATATCCACTCAAAAAGAGCAAGGAAAATAAAATAATGGAAGAACCGACTTATCCACATCATAATTCTATACCAGTTCCCACTTACCAGAGATGCCCCATTCAATGAATGGCCTGCGAGTTCGGATATTTCAACCAAGTGCATAAAAGAAGGGTTAAGCATTTAAACGAGTCCCCTGTCAAACACTCAACGATCAAAGGTGGGTCATTGTTCAAACCGTAAAATGTTCTCATCAACACGCAAACCAAAGCTTGCATTAATATATAAACCCAACAGTTGATCCATCTTGAATTTGGACTCTTGCCTGCACTCATCATGTAAACATGGAAGTTGGCTTCTAAATGGGATTGGACAAAAATAAACTCACCGTATCCGTATGTGTGGTCCTACCAACAACCTCATAATGCAGCCTGTACTGTACAGCTCTACAAAAAATGAATAATAGGATCTTGATTCATCACCATGTGATGTGAGCCCACAATTGTCCAATTTCAGAAGACACTTGCAGAAAGCTGATCTTATAACTTGCAATATTATAAATTCCAGCCTGTATAATAATAGCTCTGTTGCATAACTCATGGACTCCCACATTACATGAAAGTAAATATGATCCACCCAACAGAGAGAACTACTTATTGCTGCTCGTACAATTGAAAGATTAGTTGTTTATGAATCAAACTTAGAGTCAACACAAATTGCTGAGCTGACCAGGATACCAGCAGAAATTGCTAAACTTTATCAACCACCTTTTAACTTTAAGGCACTAGTACAACTATATCACTAATATAATGTCAGGAACTTGATTAATAATTCGCTTAAGAAATTCATCATCGCTACAAGAAATGTGCAATGTTGTGCATAGGCGAAGACAATTTGTGGACCAGAAAAAAGTGGCAGCTTCCCAAGAACCATTGGGATTGGTACATGCACTAACACCAGCAGGGATAGTATTACATATAAGTATATAACGGAGAAAGAAACACAACACACATCATACACATTCCCAATGCAAGTATGCACTATAGAGAGCAACAGTCATTCAATGCACTTCATGCCTGAAAGGTAAACCCGGCATTGGATGATACTACCACCAATACAAAAACCAGGCATAATCATAAGTCCAACTTTTGGCTTCTGATCACTTTCAACTGGAACCACATCTTTCACCACACTTTCCATATAAACTTCTGAGAACTCGCTTCCCCTTTTGACTTGAAAGACCTTAACTTTGGGATCGAAAGAGTAGGCCAACCTATGCAAAAGCCAGATTGATTTAGCCAGCTTCAGAAAAGCCTGGTAGAAAGGTGTCCTTGGGTGCCCACCACCTATGACGTAATTCCTCTGATCCAGATTCCCAATGAATGAAGCCTCCATTTTTGGATGAACAACAACCAAATACTTGCTCCGGCAGAATTTTCCAAAAACAGAATCTGGGTTTTGGCTCAGGATATCTAAGGGATCCATTGTCCTCAAAGCCAGGAACTGATGGAAGAAACTCTCCTTAGATACTGTAATATTCTCTGGCTTAATGGAGAAACTTTCTTCCTGAAATCCACTGAACATTCTTTGACATATGTGGGATTCAAACGCATACTTCTTGTGAGCCCTCTTCGCATAAACCACTGTTGGTTCAATTGAACTTGCAGCTGCATCAAGGTCCCACCCAGCTGCTTTCATCATGTTGATCAACGGTTTAGAAAAATCATGTATAGCTTTGGAGGCAGCCTCTAGGGCAGATGAGAAGAGATCTGGAGTTAGCTCCGTGTTGAGGAAACCATTATCAGCTTGTAATTCTTCAGACTCTTTTGTTGGCAAGCCCCTCAGTTTCAGTTTCTTCTCCAATTTCACCCGCTTCTGGTTGGATTCTTCTATCTGCTGCTGCAATTGAAGAATTTCAGAATCTTTAGTCTGCAGCTGGGACTGGAACTTCTTCACCATAACCTCGTAAGTCTTCAACAGGTTCTGCTGTTCCTGGATTTCAGCAACTAAACGGGAGTCCTGAGGAGAAGCCAAGGTAGATTTGGGGTTGTTCTCCCTATGGGAATGCTTCAGTTCAGAGAGGTTCTTGAGTTCTGAAATTACAAGCTTATCAGCAGCTTGGATCTTGTCTGGGTCATAAGGAGTATGGGCAGCTTGGAGCTGGATGTATGCCGATTTTAAGGAAGAAATGTTTGTAAAAATTTTGGATATCAGGGCTTCCACAGCTTCCTGGTTCTGATTCATGGACTCTTCCATGGGTTGAGGGTGGACCTTCTGATTGTTATTCTCACGGTTTTGGGTTTCTCTCGATCCTGTGGGTAGCATAGTTGCTTCCTCTGTAAGTAAAAGTGCTGCTTGGGTTTTCTTCGGAGAAAACGCCAACCAAGTTTAACCTGCAAACCGTCACAAATATTACAGAAGCCATCGGTTAAGATTGATAAAGGCCTTAAAGAAGCAAGATAATGATTCTAACTTCAACCCCCCCCCCCCGGCCAAAAAACAGAGAGAGAGAGAGAGTTTTACTGCAGAGTATTTTAGTGCTTTTCATGTATTATAATTTTTGCTCTCCTTGTGAACAATGATTCTAACTTCAACCCCCCGGGCCAAAAAACAGACAGAGGGAAGGAGGGCGGGAGAGAGAGAGAGAGAGAGAGAGAGAGAGAGAGTTTTACATGTTGTACAAGATAAATGCAGAGTGTTTTAGTGTTTTACATGTTTTATAATTTTTCGTCTCCTAGTGAACAATACACTGATACAGTACAGAAGAATCTGTTTTCCTTGAGATAAAAGGCGTGGGATATTATGTTCAAACTCAAAAGATACTACTGTAGCATAAGAAGCCTGAGAAATGGTATGAACATCTTATATCTTCCCAGCCCTACAATACCCATGTTGCTTGTCCAAAGATCAAAGAACATTTTCAGAAAAGGAATACCAATGGCCCACTTTTCCACTAAGTTTTTCCATGTCAATGTGGTGATACAAAGTACAAATCCAGTACAAGGTTTTATGGACGTACTCGAAGTTGATCATGAAGGCGTACATACTCACCGAGACAAAACCAAGATAAAAGGGACATAATCAATTGATCATATGGATTTCAGAACGAAAGAACCAATCACAATAAAAGAGGTAAGAAAAGGGAAGAATAAAGAAGTTGATACCAAAACATACAGGTACTGGCCCCTAATGCCATCAGTACCAATACAGCTCCTAAAGGAGGGTCATAAAGGCACTTTAGAATATCCAAAAAAAAGCATGTTTGCATACACCATTTTTGGAACTGGCATGACATTAAAGTAATAATTTCAGTAATGACCTGAAGTGGCTTAAACTTCTTTATTAATCAGTATTAAGTCGCATAAACTTTAAGCAAAGGCAGAAACCTGATAAAAATGTTTCTGACTAGGTCAGATCCAGATAAAAGTTTCATGAGAGATCACCTTTCACTCGGGATTTCTAACCTCCACTATAATATCACCACATGCAAGTAACCATGCATCAACTTCTGCTACGTGTACTTTTTTGGCAGAGAAAACTTGATCATTCTAGAAAGAGGGCGTTTTGAGATTGGTAGACCTATATCCACCTTACAGCACTGGATCGTTGACCATTTTCATGTATAGCCTATCTTTGATCTATTAGTAACTTCCAAAGAGGAAACAGGCTAAAAACAAAATTTCTTTTTCCAGATACACTTCTTGCCTCAGTCTTTGGACCAAAATAAGAGAGACAAGGAAAGACCCCAACACACACTGCAATCAACATTGTACAAATCCAGTACTTTATGAAGGTTTTACAGAGGTACTACACCCTTACACTCAAAACCCATTTTCTGTGCATTGATGGCAGGGCATCAGAGCATTAGGGTCTAGGGGACAGAACCCCAACCCATTATCTGTGCATTAATGTTAAATTCATCCATATGCCAACCATAGAGTGGTATTTTCAATAAAAGTTTCATTCTTGGTTGCAAACAAATTAGGAACTTCAAGAAAACATAATTCAATAATCTCTGAATATAGTGGTCATAGTGCCTAGGTGACTAGGCGGTTTTCCAGTTTCGCCTCGCCCAAACGCCTATAGTTTTGTACCCAGAGACTTAGGCGGGTGCCTAAATCCAGCTTCAGTGCTTTTTTTCAAAAAAACAGGGGCTCCACCCCTATACACCTCCTTCTTCCCAGCTTCGGTTCTTTTATTTTTCGAAAAAACAGGGGCTCCGCCCCTATTCTCCTCCCTTCTTCCATCCCAGATTCAATGCTTTTTTTTTCGAAAAAACAGAGGCTCCTCCCTTCCTAGTTCCAGGCTTCCTGCACTTAATATTTTTAACAGCCGAACCTACTCCCTTCCTAGTTCCTAAACTTATAAAATAGTTTAGGTCGAAGTATAGAAATCTATAGATTAACATATTTATAGATTCCATCGCCTAGGCATTGCCTAGGTGCCTGGATGCCCCATGGTCGCCTAGTCACCTTGACAACTATGGTAGTGGTATTTTCAATAAATGTTTCATTCTTGGATTCCCGGTTGCAAACAAATTAGGAACCTCAAGAAAACCTAATTCAGTAATCTCTGAATATATATACTAGCTTGCTCACTAAGGCTGTACAAAGTTGAATTGAGAATGGTGAGTTTTGTAGGGATCTTCCATGGACATGGGAAAAAAATGTCAAACCATGTAAATCCCTACTAAGGTGGTAAGGTAACACCTTGAGCTTAATCTTTCAACAACCAACAATTACAAAAAGGAAGTCTCATACAGCAACTTCGCAAACTAAATATCAAATACTGTTCATCGGCCTCTCAACTCTGCCCCTACTATTATTTTTGTTCATTCTCTCTTCCTTATTTCTCCTCTCAATTCACAAGCTCTTCTAACAAATGCCTTTCCCCCCAAGAACCATAAACCAAACCACTTACCAACCTCCATCTCCCCTATCGACAATTTTTTCAAGCTCCATATTTTCATATCTCTCCTCCTCTCCTGATAAAATCTCATCAGTTCCCTCCTTATTTTCACTTCCACCCTCCTCCTCCTTTGCAGCTACAGAAATCTCCGGCTCCCCTTCAAACCAAACCATCAACTGATCCTTATCTTCAGAGTCTTGCTATTCATTTGGGATAACTAAGGAATGTACTGACCAAAAGGGAATCAAAAGCCTCCAAGGCCAATGATTATAGGAAGTCTTTGGAGCATACTCACTAATTAGCAAAATCAATTCTACAGCATAAAGATGACCATGGAAAACAAAATCAAATACACCTAGCCTCCACAAATTGCATCTGCAAGCTTCTTTACAAATCCCTGTCTTATATCTAGTTTTCTTCAAAGCAGAGGACCAGAGTAACAGGAGTTGCCAGATTCTTGAATTCTAGTTTACATATCACCTATATTCTCTAGAAATACAGTTATAATATAGGATTATAATTTATGATATAGGACTATGGTTTATGGGTATGAAAAGGAGAGAGGTATATGGAATATAACATAGGTTCAAGGTTGTCACACAGATGTCAAAGAGTTAAAATACCAACCAAAGGACCCTTGGAGAGTAAAACTAATAAAAAACAAAATTTTTATTTGTTGATTTTAAGGTATAAAAATTAGTTTATAAACCCATATGTTATAAAAACTAATAGAAACGTTACGAATATATCATTAAAAAGAAAGCCAAAGAACTATGCCAATTACTCAGCATGAACTGGATTTACTTTACAACAATTGACAAATTACTCAGATCTAAGAGCAATATAAAAATAGAAAGTTGTACATGTTGAGTAAGAAGTTTAACAGTCCTACTAAGAATTGCGGAAATCAGTATTCAGTTCTGAAGCAATCTAAGGAAACCAATGTAAATAGTATACTAAGCACCTTAGAATATCAACACAATGAAAAATCTGTTGCATCACATATAGTTTCCATCACAACAATGCAAAGGATGTACCGACTGATTAACTACCAAAGAAGAAGAATGTACCCATTGGTTTAAGTTAGAAAGACTAATTACAAATCTAGTTAAGTAAGAAATTGTGCATGTGACTGACAGTTTTGACTCCAAGTGCATTTCATTTCCATCACTGTGAGATGGCGACTCATCTTTTGATTTCTTGTCCTTTTGCTTCTTATTTGTGGGATTGATTCTCTTCATTGTTTGGTTGCAGATGGAATCCTCCCTTGGGTGTGCTGAACCTTTTTGACTCTAGCTTCTTCCGACAACCAAGGAAAAGACGCAAGGTAATGTGGAAAATAACAAGAGCAGCCATCCTATGATCAATTTGGGAAGAGAGACAATAGGATCTTCCTAGGGCAAGAAAAATCCAAGGAAGCACTTGTTGAGGTTGTCACCATCAAGGTTATGCATTGGCTGAAAGTACATTGTCTCTTCAAGGACTTCTCCTCAGCTGACTTAATTAGAAATTGGAGTGCTATAGCTGTATGCTCTCCTTCCTCCCCTGTGGTACAAGAAAGTTGGGTACCACCACCTCAGTTCAGGGTGAAGCTAAACTTTGATGGAAGCTCCTTGGGTAATCCAGGTCAGTCGGGAGTCGGGGTGTGTTCAGAAACAAGGAAAAGTCTTGGCCCTTTACTCGGGCCCAATTGGGGTGGGAGATTCATTAAGGGCAGAAGTAATGGCCTTACTTCTAGGTTTGAGACTGGCGAAACAATGGGAATGCAGCAATTAGAAGTGGAAGGAGACTCCAAGCTGGTAATAGGGTGAATGCAATCTGGAAACTTGGGAGTTTGGCCTCTTAGACAGCCTCTAAGAGAGATTATTAGCTTAGCAAGGGAGATTGGGGTGCATTTTAAATGGATATGAAGGTCAGCAAATGGAATGGCTGACACTTTAGCTAAGTAAGGAGCCACTAGGGAGGCTTTGTTTTGGGCTTGTTTGTAAGATTTTGTTTTGATATTCCATCCATTTTGTGGGTGGTAAGTCTGTAATCTTTTCAATTCTTTAATGAAAGTTACCGTTTCCTATCAAAAAAAAATTAAAACAATGAACTCAAGCACATGGTTTTCAAGGTACCAAGGCAAAGCTAGGTGACCAAGGAGAGCCTAGATGGCAAGGCAAGCCTAGGCAATGAGTTTTGAAAGTAAAAGACCCCATATCCTAAGCTGATTTCTTATTTTGCATAGTTACCAATAATCATCTACGCTAACAATTAACAATAATATTCATTAAATAACTATAATTTCATATCAAAACATGGAAAATCATCATATTCATGAGAAGATAGACATTTAAATATAACAGTTTCAATATTTCAAATATAATAATTTAATATAATAATAAAAATAAGAATTCAATAAAGCAACTACATTAAAAAACTAAGGAATGATAAAGTACTTCCACACCAAAGAGCACCTAAGAAAGTATTGAGTATTGACCAT